AATAAAGCAATAAAGACTTTTATATACTTTTGGTAACATCAAAAGACTAGCAAAACTAAGAGGCAAATATTGCACATACATTAAAAATGTACAAAGGCATAAATAACAAATATAAACACAATGTTTGAGTAACTCTGAAGCCCACCACAAGAAATGAATCCACAACACCTGCTAATCAATCTACAATTAGATTTTATGCTATACTTGCATCTTTCTTAGATCTAATATAATGTGATTATTTGTAATGTCTTATTGATAAATAGACCAAAATTCTAAACACTTTTTACAAACTGTCCAAAAATGTACCCTAATTTTCTTACCTTATATGGTATTTCCTTTTCCCAAGATGGGATGCCCAATATCCTGATTTCCAGAAACGATACCCATCCATTTCTGTGCGACTGTCACAGAAAGGAGTGTATCCATAGGGAGCTCCATTTAGATCTAAATCTCTAAGTTCTCTTAAGTCATCTCTCACAATCTAAATAAAAGAAATATATAAATAATTATTTTTAGAATTTAATGTTTCTTGCCCAGTATGAGTCCATTGGGCATGGAGAGGAAAGGAGAATTTATGTTCTAAATACATATATTCAAATATTTAATTTGGTTTTGGGGAAAAAGTATGGCACCCAAATCATTCATCCTTCACAGAAGTACTCTTTAACAAAAGGTGTTGAAAATGTGCCTCTTCCTGCATCCCCATTACCAAACTACAGTCAAGTCTGGGGTCAACCTTTTTTAGCTACTGAACAGTACAAAAACCCATGCAAAATTCAGGATAGAAAGCATACAAAAGTACTTATTTAAATTTAATTACAATAATGGGACCAACACTAACGACTTGTAAAATATGTCCTGAGATATTTAATCATTTCATGGTTGTTAGAGGCTGGAAGGGACCTTACAGCTCATCAGGTCCAGTCCCCCTGCACTTGGGCAGGAAATGACCACATACAATCAACATTTCAGCATTATATCCATATAAGAGAGTATAATGGCCTCAAGGATATAATGTTGTACTAGTTCATAAATGAGTAGAAGGGATACACACTAAATGTTGAACGCACTAGTATGCAGGAATTTCTACTTAGCGATCTCCAAACCAATTATTGCAATCTGATGAGAGCAAAAACTCAGATAAAATGATGGCAATGATGGAAGGACTGACAGGAAGTAACATAACCTTGTATACATAACCTTGTATTTTTATAGAATTATTGATTTCTTACCAGATCAGCATCAACAAATATTATTTTGTCCACAGCCAATGGAAAAAGAACATCCAGGAAAAGAATTTTGTAACCCCAGATAATTCTTTGCTTTTCTGTTTGTTGATATAGCCAGCGGGGCCACTTATATTGCACCAATTCATACTGGAATCCATATTCTTTAGCCAGGTAGGGAATAACTTCCTAGAAGTGGAACAAAACCCACAGAGGTACATAGGGCAGTACACAGAAGTTAAGCGTCTTGCTTAATATCACACAGCAGAGCTAGCACCAAAACCATAACTCTTAGCTCTAGTTCTGTGCTGTAGCCACTCATAATTAATTTAATGTTCTCTTAATAATAATTATTCCTCCCCTCTTTATATTCTACATTGATTTCTTTCTGTTACTTCATTCCTCCTTCTTCCATGTGTGCTTGTTTCTTTTATGATCACCAAAAACTGATTAACAGCCAAATTACGCACGCAAATGTTTTATTACTATAGGACAATATGATCTAGCTCATTTAGTCCTGCAGCTAGTTCTACAATGAAGCACTTTTATAAAGGAATACAAGGTTATTCCTGTTTGTTTTCTTTTCTCCTATTACTTACAATACTTTTTTAATTAAAGAAATACTGCTTTTCTCATTATAAAAATATGTACCAAAAATATCAGGGTAAGTGTTGACTAAGGCATATCAGGCATGTCTAAACTATGTCCCCAGAGAATTGGGTACATATGCATTGAAGAATGCCTGGGTCATTCCTGCTGCCAAGCACCAAACCCAGAAATGAAGTGGCAAAGCCATGCCATGGGTGTCTCGCCATAACTACTCTCAAGATTTCTGACTCCAGCGTGCCTGAGAGCAGCTGAGTGGGTACTTCTGCAGTGTATTCACTGTTGCATTTCTGGGTTTGGAATGTGCAAGGGGGAACAAATGGGCATAGCATTCTTGAGCAAATCCCTCTCTAAGAGTACTAGAGATGTGATGCAGATATATGAATAGTGGACACATACAAAAAGTAAATACTTAGCTCTGTAAGTATTTGACACTTAGGCTGTGTACATGTGTTCAAATAATCTGGAAGTATCCTCCTGAGTTTATAGAAAAACCTACCTGGAGATGCCTGAATAGACAATCATGCTAAGCCCCTAAAAAGAGCAGAGAGCTTGTAGTGCTGCAAAGCCAGGGGACACTTGTGCACTCATTTCAGCATGCTCTGCACAACAGATTGCAACAATGCACAGGGCAGCCCTGCCTGGCTGACCCTGACTGCTTCACAGTACGGGCAGTCCTCGACTTATGGAGTTACGTCAAACAGCATTTATGACATTTGTAAATTGACACCCCGTTTCAATGTTCCAATGCAGGTTTTGCCTTTACGACACTGGACATGGCTGTGTCCAGCTGGTAAGTCTGTTGTGGTGGGGGGAAGAGGCATGGGGAGGCAAATCAACACGCCCACAGTGAGGGAGGGACTGTGGCTGGGGCTGGGGCAAGTGCTGCCCAGCTGGGGGGGGGGGGGCGCAGGAAGGGGGTGGAGTAGCTCCTGCCGCTGCACACCACAGGTCTGGGAGGGCATGGGGGAGGGAGGGAACGGGGGGAGGCATTTGCCTCAGATTTGTGTGGGGCAGCACATCACGTGCTGGGATTGGGGGCTCTACCCTGTTGCTGCTTGCCCAGCCACAGTTGCACTGCGCTGCCGTGGCCGCTCATACCCCTGCTCTCAGCACTGCTGGAGGGTAGCCCAGCACTGCCCGTCTTGCCATGGGGGGAGCAGCTGGATGAGACGTGGCTTCTCCTGTGGTCGCCCATAGCCCCCGGAGTGCAGCCTGGCACTGCTGGGCTCCCCACAGCAGGAGCTGCAAGGGAGCAGGCAGATGAGCCATGGCTTCACTCCGAGGGCTATGGGCTGTTAATTATTTAGATGGAGGATCAAGATAAACCCTGTGCTTCTGTGAGTTTACGCATCATTCAGGAAAAGGCTAGGAGTCTTTATGATGAACAGCAAAAAGTGGCAGAGGAAGAAGATCCACCCTCTGTTGTAGAGACTCCTCTTCGTAAAGTCTTGACAACAAAAGTGTTGGCTGAGGCATT